AGTTCTTTTAGCACCTTCAGGAGTCAAGCTTTTGGGTAAATCATCATTTTATTGTTTTTCTCTGATTCATGAGGGCTGTTTTAGGAACAGAACCAGCAGGAGATACACCCGCATGTGCAGGGAAGGGACTGGGCCCTTTCTCCAGGCACTTCGGAGGCAATCAGCTGCTTCAAGATGAGGCTGAGTACCTCCTGCCTGGCCACCGGCTGCTAGGCACTCACTCAAGTGGACGGTGAGCGCAGGGTCTGTACATTCCATGGGAAGCGTGCGGCCAACAAAAGTTGCTGCTGCTGCGCCGGGTGGGGGTGGGAAGGGAGGATTGAGGTCACAGGAGGAGCAAGCTTTCCCCGTGCACCAAGGTGTGCTAGTCCAGAACTGCGCCCGCCTCCTGCTGAGTGAGGGGCATTCCTGTTACAGGTCAAGGCAGACAGCGCCCATCTGTTTGGGGTTGCCTTGTGCATGCTGGTTTGAGTGTTTTCAACTTGGTTATTGCAAAGAAGAGGGGAGAAAATTACTCCTGGGCTGGCTGATCCCAGGGATCTGCAAGAGCCAGCAGAATCTGCAAACGTGTCCATCTCTCCAAGGAAGGTGACGTCTGCTGTGTGTCCTCAGAGAGCCCCTAAGGAATGAGGGTAAGAAACCGTGGGCCAACACACTTGAGATCCAGTGTCTTCCTACACCACACATTCTGCCACTCCAACGCCGGCACAGGGCTCTGAGCCTGCAGTGTACCTGGGAGAATAAGGGAGAGGTTGCAGAAGGGGCTCAACTTTTGGCCAAGAGTATGAAGGAGGCCGAAGCAATCCGCCAGCAACAGACTGCCAAGCGTCCAGCCAAAAAATTAAATCAGACAGCAAACATGGGAAGGCATTGGAACAACCAAATATTCCAATCAATTGATATATATGTCTATACTGTGTGCATGTATGTGTATAAAGAAGTGAGGTAAATAAACAAATGAGGAATTCAGTAAAAGGAAGACATAGGTGTCTAATAAGGAATTGGGTCCTGCGACAGTGCAGCCTGAGCAGTCCCGAGCAAGCTGGACTCAGGAGAGCTGAGGACAAACCTGAGAGCCAGCAGGCTCCAGAACCAACCGAGTCTGAGCCCGCCTGAGTCCTAGGCAGGGAAGGAGCCAAGTCACAGCTGGAGGCAGTCAGGTGGCCGTGCCCTCTGACTCAGCATTCTTGTTCTGACTCAGCATTCTTGTTCTGAATCAGCATTTGTAAAAAAGATTTATTTTATTTATTTGAAAGACAGAGTTACAGAGAGAGGTAGAGCCAGAGAGAGAAAGGTCTGCCATCCACTGGTTCACTCCCCAAATGGCTGCAACGGCCAGAGCTGAGCTGATCTGAAGCCAGGAGCCAGGAGCCAGAAGCTTCTTCCAGGTCTCCCACGCAGATGCAGGGGCCCAAGGTCTGGGAGCATTTCCTACTGCTTTCTCAGGCCATAGCAGAGAGCTGGATCGGAAGTGCAGCAGCCGGCATTTGAACTGGTACCCATATGGGATGCTGGTGCTACAGGCTGAGGCTTTAACCTGCTGTGGCCACAGCACCGCCCCCCTGACTCAGCATTCTTGTTCTGACTCAGCATTCTTGTACTGTTCAGGTTCGGGTCTTTGACTGTTGAGGCCCCCTAGATTGCGGAGGGCGTTTGGCTCAGTTACTAATTCCAATGCCCACCTCACCCAGATGCACCCATTCTCATGTCTGGCCAAATATCTGGGTCCCCCACCCTGCCACCCCCACTCAGGTGGACCCATAAAATGGACTTTCCCTGGGACCTACCAAGACCCCTCCCTCACACACCCTCAAACATGGAGACCACACAGTCCAGCCTGGTGTTCCAAGTCCCAGTCCCGGCTCTGCTACCAACTTGTTCTGAGATCCCCACATCCTTTCCCTGTCTCCCTGCTTCCTTTTGCTCTGACCCGAGAGGCAAGGGAGCCCAGGGCTCACGAGGTCTCTCCCAACTTGGCAACTGCCACCTGGCAGACTTGGAATCGGAGCAGACCCCATGCCGCAGACATCGCGCTGCGACTTTATTGAGTCATTTGTACAAAACCTCCAAGAATAATTTATTCACCCAGTGGTTTGAGACGAGGGGAAGAAAATCAATAGGACAGTGTCTCGGTGATTTTTTTTTTCTATACTGCGAAGAAGTTTTATTCCATTTCAGAGAGTTGAAGTCTACAATGGGTCTTTATGGCCAAGTTTCATTAACGCTCCTAGAGATTCATTTCAGGCACTGAAAACCCTTAGCTTCCCCAGAAACCAGGGAGAGAGCCCTCCTGGGGAACAAACTTTCCCAGGGCTATTCACGACACTTGAGAGATCGCTGGCGAAGCACAGGAGAGCGAGTTTGGAAGGAAAGCAGTGTCCCCTGAATGCAGACTCATCTCAAAGTCATTCTGGGAAGCAATTTAAAGGCCTCTTGTCTGCGATTCAATTGCCACCTCTTCAACAACTCACAGCTGTTGGGCTCCCTTCTCTTCCATCAGGATCATGGGCACACTGACAACTGGCTTAAACAGACGCTGGGGCAGGCAGAGCCACAGGTTTCCTGTGCAAGTAGAGCACATCATCCACCCCAGACAAGTTCAAGGCCTTCCCTGTGCACTTCCTAGCAGACCAGAGGGGAAGCAGGGTGAGACAGAAAGGCCCTGGAGTCAGGAGACCTGGCCTCCAGCCCCAGCTCCGTCGTGGACCTCTTCAAGCCTCGACTTTCTCATCCATAAAAAGGGTGTCAGACTCCTTGTCTACTTCCTTCACAGAGTTATAGGAAGATGACAATAGCGATCATCTGTTCAGTTGTTTGGCTTCAAGCAACTCTGACTGCCTTAACGTAAAGATTCTTTGGGAAGCACAGAAGGGCTCCTTCCTGGGCCTGGATATGGGCAGAGTGAGGCTCTTGCTCCAGACATCACACCTGCTGAGTCTCAGCTCCAAACCTATACTGACCCACTCACCCCAGTGCTGCTGGCACTGGCACTTACCAAGCTAACCCTCTCCTGCTGAGTTTCCATGGCAGAGGTGGCCAGAGGGAGTCTCCTCTCTCTGCAGGATGTTTCAAATACCCCCTATGCCTTTCTGTTGTAAGGACACCTGCCCCATATCCAGGATGTTGTTGTTTAGAACACCTTCACTTAATTGCATTTGCAAAGACCCCTTGTTCCAAACAAGGTCAGCTTCTTGGTGAGCATATCCGTTGGGGGCCACCATGCAGCCCACCACAAGCCGTGACACCTCTCCTGCTTCTCTCATTAGTCGCTCCACCTTTCACCTTTGTAAGCAGTAGGTCAGTTATTGTTGTCGGGTCTCCTCAGTCACACACACACTGTCCAGGAGTCCTGGGGACAGAATGCAGTGCAGAGTTACCCAGCTCTCCAGGTGCAGAAGACTCCAGGCAGGGATCAAACCACCAGGCCATGGACCGTGCCCCAAACGCCTAGGGCAGCCCATGCCGGGCAACCAGCTGCCTGCTAAGAGAATCTACCCCCATCCTCGTCTTGGTGGACGCTCTTGTCTTCTCGGCAGAAGGACTGAGGTGTCGCTCCCCCATTCGCGGAGGAACAACACAGGACCCTGCGCTGTTCTTTTGTCTGCTCGGCCCTTCCCGGGTTTGCTGCTGGTCCTTCCCGGGTTGGCTGCCGATCCTTCCACCTCCGTGGAAGGGCGGTTCCCCTTGCCACTTTCCCCACTTCCGCGGGGGAGCGGCACACCGCCGGCCGGCTCTCTCGGGGGCTGCTCAGATGTTATCCGGATGTTCCTGGTGCATGTTGTCTCTCTCCTCCTTTATAGTCCTCTTCCACCAATCCCAACTCTGCTACCCACACGCCGAGCACGCTGCTCTCCTCCAATCAGGAGCAGCTCCTGCAGTTTATTGGTCGAACTGGAGGCAGTAGAAGCTGTTTACTCCTCTCCCAGTGCCATATTGTGGGAGAGCAGATGCATAGAATAAGTCTTAATTCCAGTAACTTAGTCTAGTTCGAGTTGCTCCCCACACTGAGGTGCCAGGTTTGGTCCCAGGGTCCCTAGAATTGGGAAGGTGGGAAGGCAGCTCATTCCCCCCCACCCGCTCTGCTCCACCCCTCACCTTCAGGGACCCAGGCAGCTCCAGCGACCCTGGATCATCCCTGGAGCCATTTCTCACCACCTCTCAGAACCAGAGCCCCCAGCCCCTGCCTGACAGGGACCGCCCTCTCGGAGACAGACAGATCTGGCTCCCGACACCCAAGGTACTGAGGGCCTGGCTGCACCACAGCCCTTCCTCCCGAGGGAGGCGCATGCCAGAGGAGCCCCAGGCCCAGGGGAGCCCCGGGCACACTTGCCTACTCTCTGGAGGATAGAGGAGGAGCTGACCTTCAAATTCTGGGTGATTTTTCCGGCTGCGAATGGAGCGAGGAAATCTCATAAATTTCATCTCTGGCAGGAGGACATCCCTCTACTGATCACTTGTTATTATAAGAAAAAAAATCGAACAGTGAAATAGCACAAAGAGTGCGATCCTATTTCACATAAATAGATGCAGATCGCCGATTGATATCCATTACATCATTTATAGCCGTTATCGGTGGGTGGTGGGATTATGAACTGTCTTTATTTTCATCATTTCCTTATCTGCATCTTCTAGGGTTTCTCCAGTGAGCATATATCATGTCGGTAATAAGGTTTTCTACAGTTATATTAAAAAGTAATACCGGCCGGTGCAGTCACACGGTGCTACATGGCGTCTCACATCTCCCATGTGTGACTCCCATCTGTGAGGTCGCAAGGGCAGGTGTTTTTGGCCACGAGTTACAGATGGGGGACCGTAGAGGAGCAGAAGTGTGAGATCCCACACCCCGGGGTCTGAGGGCATGCTGGGGCCAGGGCCCATCCTCAGTTCGGGTGGTCTTGCCCGCGCCCGGAGAAGGCCAGCTGTGACCAGGGCTGCGCAAAGAGCCGCCTCCGAACTAGGGCTTTGTGAGGTCAGAACTCCGCAGTGCCCCTGGCGTTGGCCAGTCGGCAGCCGGCGGGCAGAAGTCAGAAACCCCGGGACCCAGTGAGAGGCAAGCTCGGAGGAGGAGGAAGGAGGCCTCGGGGGCGGGGCTCCAGGGGCGCGGAGGGGCGGCTCCCCAGGTGGGGTGATCGGCTCTCCTGAGGATGAGTCCGTGGCCTTCGTGGGAACCAGCCGGTCCCAGGGCCACGCTGCCACGTCTCCGCAGAACTTAGGAGACTGCTGGGAGTCCTCTCCAGCAAGGGCAGGTGGGGAACACGCAGCTGCCCCCAACCTGCCTTCCGGTTGTTCCTTACAGGTGTGGGGTGATGGAGGACCAGAGAGCGCACCAAGCTCCGAGTGGCCTGCGCGCCCTGCTGCGCCCCCAGGGAGAGCGCTGAATGCCGGATCTGCTAGTCCACACACACACACACACACACACACACACACACGCAACCCCCTACGGCGAGATGCGCAGGACATCCCTCATCAGCCCCTTTAAAGAAGCCGAGGCCCAGGTTAGGACTGGAGCGATCCGGTTCCTGTTGGTGCGCTCTCTGCTGCTCGCATCCGGCTGCCTCTCAGAGGGCAGCGCCAGCTCTTTTGTGACCCTGTGGTCCTGAGGCCGCGTCACAGACACAAGGCGGGAGACCACGCCCACTGCACTAACTTCGTGGCCTCCCAGGCCCCAGAAGCTGCTCCAGGCCCGAGGTATCCCCTCCCCCCACCCCGCCCCGGGCAGGTGTGACGACGGGTGGTGGGGCAGAGATCCAGGCCAGGTTCCAAAGGGATCAATGGGATGCAGGTGACCAAGAAAGGAGGAAGGGTCTGAGGTACTGACGTTTTGTTTAGAACTCATTTCACGAAACCCAGCTCAAACTGCCCAGGCAGAAGGGAGAACGTGTGGGGAGGATGCAGGGGCTACGCAGGAGGGTCTCGGCCAGGCGGGTCGGGGGCATGAGGCCATTCGTTCCCCTGTCTGCGCTTCCTCCTTCTCTCTCTCCCCCCTCCTCTGCCTCTCTCCCTCCCCACTGTGTATCTCAGTCTCTGCGTTTATGCATTCCTGCTGCAAACCGGCTCCCTCCGGCTGAGGACAACGCTGGGGGCTTGGGATTAACAGCCTTTTCCTGCCTACTTCTCTCTGCTGAGCCATGCCCCTCACATGCAAGTTTATCATGAGAGAGTTCCAGGTAGGCAACATGATTGGCTTACCTGGACCCAGGGGCTCAACCCTCAGCCAGGGAACAAGCCAGGACAGTGCGCATGCGCAGTGGGCAGGAGCGGAAGAGCCACATCTGGGAGGCTGGGGCGTCCAGAGAAGGGTCCCCTTCTGGTTAGGACTGATTTCTCCTTGTGTCTGGATCTCTGCAGGGCTCAGACCCCCCAGGAAGTGACAGCGCCACCCAGTGAACAGAAGAGGAAGGCCACGCTCAGGCTGAGCCACTGGCTCAGGTCCTGGAGCCTGGGAGGGGCAGAGTCAGGACTTCAATTCTTGTCTGCTTGGCTCCAAAGGCTGCTCCTTTGCCGGTCCCTTTAATCCAAGAGGCACGAAAGACCACTAGCTGTGTGGGAAGGTCTGCGAGGCATCATCAGTCACCCGAACCTGCGCCTGCCTTTCTAGAACCCACTCATCCTCCATGAGGTGGAATAGCAGTAGAGGAGTCATGCACAAGGTGCCACATAGTGGGGCAGAGGGAAAGGAAAGGTGCACGTATTGAGTGCTGACTGTATACCAGGGCCTGTGCTCAGCATTTTCACATGAACCTTCTGTCCCTGCACCGTCAAGTGGGAATGAATTAGGATTCAGTCCAGTTTAAAATACATTTCCTGGTACTAGCCGCACTTCAAGTGCTTGAAAGCCATGGTGGCTACTGGCTACCACACCGGGCAGCAGAGGCGGGGCCACGGAATGCTCTAACGGATAGCACTGGTCCAGAGTGGAAACCCCAGGAGGGCATGTGCTCGGCTTGCTTTCTGTACCTCCGGATCACACGGCACATTGCAGACCCCCAAGAGCTACACGAGTCAAATGAAAACACGCATGCACACACATGTGCTTCCAAAAGTTCATGGAAAATGACGTAAAAATCTAACTTTGGTTTGTTGGAAAAAAATTCAAAATGCATGTGGTTTTTCATAGTACCCATTTTCCATGAACCTGTAAAAGACTTCCTGTATGCAGGATTTCAACATTTTTTGCATCAAAATAAATTTACTTTGTAATTTTATTTTTCCACAACCTTTTCAAAGTACTCTCATACAGAAGTATTAAAAAAAATGTCCTTGGCCAGCACCGTGGCTCACTAGGCTAATCCTCCACCTGCAGCACCGGTACCCCGGGTTCTAGTCCTGGTTGGGGCACAGGTTCTGTCCCGGTTGCTCCTCTTCCAGTCCAGCTCTCTGCTGTGGCCCGGGAGGGCAGTGGAGGATGGCCCAGGTCCTTGGGCCCTGCACCCGCATGGGAGACCAGGAGGAAGCACCTGGTTCCTGGCTTCACATCAGCACAGCGCCAGCCATAGTGGCCACTTGGGGGGTGAACCAACAGAAAAGGAAGACCTCTCTCTCTCTCTCACTATCTAACTTCTTGAAAAAAAAAAAAAAAAAAAAAGCAATGTCCACTACTCACCCTGTATATGTAGTGATAACTTTCCATAAAAATACAAAGGAAAAGGAAAAGAGGCAGTGGGGTGTGCCTGGACTCCCCTGCAGGCAGCACATTTTGGGAGCAGGCTGCATTGGTGGGAGGGAAGGTCATTATAACAGCCACCATTCACTGTCACTCCAGCTCAACATATTAGGGGACCTCAAAGAGTTCACGAAACAATGGAATGGAGACACCTTTATTTTGGTGTCAAAAATTTCACCACTCACGCAGATAAGGGGTCTTCAAAAAGTCCACCGGAAATGCATATTATGAAAAAACCATGATGGATTTCAAAACGTTTTTGCCCCCAAAGAAGCTTATCTTTTCCTTCTGGTTCCCCGTGTGTGTTTGAAGTGCACTCAGATTTATAATACTTTTGTAATTTAATGGCTCCCGACAACAGCTCTGTAAGATGAGGCTCTTATCCCCATTTTATAGACGAGGAGACTGAGGCTCAGAAAGGCTGCATAGCCTACTTAGTCTCACACAGCAGGTGAACTCAGGAGGGCTCAGAGCCCACACTGTCACCCACCACAGAGCTTGCATTCCATTTCCTCCCTGTACAGGGAGTCTGCCTCGCTCCAGGCAGTTTTCAAATTTGGGGTGAATTGACCCCCTCCCCCAGGCAGGCAGATCTTCAGTTCCGGTTTGATACCCCAAGTCCAGCAGTCTTTGTCACCCATCCGCCACACCTGGCCTGGAGGTGAGCCGCAGGCCAGGTCCGCCTCTCCACGCGGAGGAAAATGACTCTTCCCCGCCCCCTTGTGGCCAGGTGTGGCATGAGCTCAGAGAAACAGGGCAGCCCCTTACAGCAATCAAGGGTGGTCCTGGAAAAGCAGACCCAGCAGGAAGCTCTGCAGTCCTAGGGTGTGGGCTTCAGGTGGCGATGACTTGTCCAGGTGGCCCTGGTTGCAGGGACACCATGACTCGGTACTTTTCGCCTGGAGAAAAAAGCAACTTGCCTCTCCTTCAAGAACTCCCGCCTGGAAGTTCCCAGGCTGTTTCTTTTCCTAATGGCCCTTTTCTCGCTTATTTATTTATTGTCTATATTTGATTAAAAAGAATTCTATTCTCAGGAGTCCCCCTCCTCCCACAGGTCACTTTCCACAGGCTCGATTTAATTAACGAGAGCTGACTTGAAGATGAAAGGTAAGAAACAAAAGGTCTTCCTTATCCAATCTGAGCCCAAATAAAATCATATTAACATTTCACCTTTTGTTCCTGTGCGAGAGGAGCCGTTGGTGCATTGTATCAAAGTTATTGAAATCATTAGGAAGGAAAGAAAAGAAGAGAGATAGCTGTGGCCGTGCTTCTTGGAAATCCCCACCCCCACCCTCGTCCTCATAGGAGAGAAAAAGGAAGAGAAAGAGGAAAGGGGAGAGGAGAGAGAGAGAGAGAGGCGTGCAGTGACAATGCTGCGTTGTAAGCCTCGCTTCAAAGTCAAGTTAGGAAAAGGAAAAATCATTTGGCAGAAAAGAATACCCTAGCACTGCTGCTCCAGGCAGGTGACATGCCTCCCGGTGAGCCCTGTGGGCGCACAGGCCTGCTGCTGCTTCCTCAGCCTCTCCCCAGCCCCTAGAAACCTGCCCGGCACGCGGCAACCACTCGCGACACACTTGCTGCGTACGGGAATAAAAATCCAGGCAAGCCGGCTCTCAAGGAGTCTGACCTGGGCTCCACGTGGGTGCAAGAGGCAAAGCCGTGGCTCCTCCCTGAGTCTGCAAACAGCAAACCGCTCTGCTCTGGGCAGCAGGGGAAGAGGCAGCTGGCTTCTGCACCTTGCCTGTCCCAAATGCTTATCACGCCACAGCACTCTGCACCTTCCTGCCGGAGCTTCTGAGGCCGTGAGGAAACAGTGTGCCCCCCACACCCCCATCCCGGGGCCCCTGCACCAGATAAAGGCACCAGGTGTGAGCAGCTGCAATGGAGAAATCATCAAGGCCCTGGCAGATCAGCCCTCTCACTGACTCAGGGCTTGTCCGCGCAGAGCGCCCGGCCCTGCGCCCTGGAGGCGGGAGTCCCTCAGCTCGCACAGGTGTCTGTGCTCCGGCAGCATGGGCTAATTAAGAGCTTGTCTTCCACCTGCAAGAGGAGAGCGATGTGAGTTCCTAAGGTTGTGTGTGACGGTGTCTGCAGGGTGGGAAAAGCTGATTCATCCCAGTTAGGAAACAACAAGGAAATCTCCACAAGCCTGGAGCCCAGAGAGGCGAGCCTGGATGACTTCTGTGTGTATGTAGGTGTATTTCATTCGAGAGGCAGAGAGAAAGATTTCCCTCCAAAGGTTTACCCCCCTCCCTTTGCCCACAATGGCCAAGAGTGGGCCAGGCCAAAGCTAAGAGCTCGGAGCTCAAGCAGGGTTTCCCACGTGGGTGGCAGCAACCCAAGCCTTGAGCTGTCACCCACTGCCTCCCAGGGTGCACGTGGGCAGGAAGCTGGAGTCAGGAACCGGAGCTGAGTATCAAAGCCAGGTACTCCGATGTGGGAGCCTCAGTGCTGGCCAAATGTGCACCCTCCTGCTGCAGGTCTCTTGTCTTTGTTTAAATTCTCTGCTCCCGGGGCAGTCATTGGAACAATGCGTGTCTGCTCAAAACGGCCTCTGCCATTGCCAGTTCTGCTCCCCTGGGTCTCCTGGGTTTCCCACTGCCTGAGCCTGCACCCCTCAGCTCTCCTGGTCCTTCCTCTGCCTTTGCCTTGCTCTTCTGGCCAGCACCTTAAAGAACCACCTTGGGACAGGCACTGTGGTCCAACTGGTTCAAGGTCCCACTTGGGATGTCCCTATGGGAGTGCTACTCTGCTTCCAGTCCAGCTCCCTGCTAACGTGTCTGGGAGGCAGCAGGTGCAGGCTAAGTGCTTGGGCTCCTGCCATTCACATATGAGACCCAGATGGAGGTCTTGGCTCCTGGCTTGGGCCTTGCCCAGCCCTGTCTGGCCATTTGGGAGTGAACCAGTGGATGGAAGAGCCATCTCTCTCTCCATCAAATAAATACATCCTTAAAAAGTCCCCTTCCTCTCTCTGGGTTTCAGCTCGCCAGTGTCATCCCTGCGTGGCAGGGATGCTGACCAAGAGACCCTACCTGTTTGAGGGGTTCTGGTTGCTTCTGAATGAAGACAAGGTGACACCTTGAAAACAAGGTGAGGGTAGGCCCCATGCTCTGGCCCCAGATATCTGGCAGCAGTATCCCTGGGGAGTCCCTTGGTTCAGCCAGCAAATATTCCTTGAGCACCTAATGTGTGCCACACCCTGTTCCAGACACTCAGGACCCAGTGGTGGACAGAGCAAGACCCCGCCCCCGTGGAGTCCAGATTCTGGGGGGAGAGACAGGACATAAACAGCAGGTGTCAGAAACCATTAAGTAAAGCAGGTGTTCCAAGGAGATGAACGTGATAAGAGAGAAAGGAGGGTGCCGGGTGTCCAGAGCTTGGGAGACAGGGCACCAGGAGGACAGGCAGCGGGCAGGGCCAGGGAAGGTTGCCCAAAGCAGGGGCGGCCACCTTGAGCAGGGAGGGGCGCTCCATGCAGGAAAGTGTGGGCCCCGGCTGCGGCTGGCTGGGCGCCCAGCACAGGCGCCTGGCTGGAACTGCTGTCCCCATGGGACTGAGCAGGACAAAAAGCAGGGCCAGGCTTCTACAGCTCCTCAGCCACCGTGAGGGGTCTGGATTTTGTCCTTGTGGTGGGAAGATCGCACCTGGGGGCCTTGGGCAGAACCCAGAGGCAAGGGGACCCGCAGGGCCGCTAGCACTGTTCTCTGACCCTTCCAGTCTCCTGGGACCTGGCACTTCCCCATACCCCAACCCCCGGGAGGCATGCCTGTATGACCCGCTCTGGCCCGCACTTGAAAGTTGGTGGTGAGGTGGGGTCTGGGGTGACTCTGATGGCCCTAGGCTGGGGGTTGCATGCCCCCCAGGGCCGCTCTGGCTCCTGCCTGTGCTGGCTGTGCAGCCCTTGACCAGGTCTCCGGGAGTCTGCTCGAGCCCCAGTCTCGCGAAGGAGGTTCTGAGTTGGAGGTCCTTCTTTGGTCCCGCAGGGTGACCCTTGCTCCATCAAGCCCGGCGGCTGCTGCTGAGCCATGGGGAGGGAGGGAGGCTGGGCTACACCTGCCGGCCACACGTCTGCCACCCACCTGCCATCTGTCCCAGGGATACGGCCCACCGACAGTGTTACTCACAGGCCGGGCTGATGTCTGCCTCACAGCCTCGAAAGCCCAGCCTTCCTCTTGTCACCTGTCCCAAGTCAACTCTCACGCATGCTTCTTACCTCGGCCCACATGTCACCACCTCAGGGAGGCCTTCCCTGATTCCTCAGACAGGCGCCGTGTCGTCCCTTTGGTGCCATCACAGCATCCACCAGCCACGCACCCGCCTTGGGCTGAGGCCCACTCCTCTTCCTGGCTGTAAACCAGGAGGGTGGGCTTCTTGTCTCCCCCCACATCCGACACAGTAAATACCTGTAGACGACATGGCTTCCTTGTGGGAAGCTGTACACACCTGGTTGGGGGTGTTTGTCTACACAAGGGCAACTCTGCCTTCCCCCAGCTTAGATGGGAGTTCAGGGGTCTGCTCACCAGAGGGGCTTGATGGTGCTTTAATAAAAAAAGACCCAGCCCCCAGGTCCTGGGGGTGTCACTGCTGCACTAAATTGTGTTAATGGGGCGGGAGGCAGGGCGAGCTTCGTGAGCAGCGGCTGCGGCCTGGGTCAAGTTCGCTTGGACCTAAAAGCCCCTCCCCGCCTCTGCCCCGGAAGCAGAGGCCGCGCAAGACGACCACGCGCTGATGAGGACCACAACACTGTCACAGAAGCTGGCTCCGCCCAGAGAGCAAAGCTGTTGGCCATGCAGACATGGGGGGCGGGTGCCCTGCTGGTTCCCAGACGCCCTCCTCCTCCTCCTCGTCCTCTCCCTCCTCCTCTGGGTGCCCTGTTCCTGGACCCTGTGCTGGGCACCGAGAGACACCCTCTTCTGGCTATACTCCTGGCTGGGCAGGAGAACGGAAATCAATCCGGGTGCCCAGCTTGTCCTTCCACGGAACCTTGGCTTGTGGTGGGCGGGGCCAACAACCTGAACTTTTCTTTTTAAATATAGACCGCTTCACGAATTTGCACAGGACACTTGCACAGTGGCCATGCTAATCTTCTCTGTATCGGTCCAATTTCAGTATGTGTATTGCCACAATGAGCACCGGCTGATCTTTCAAAAAGCATTTTTAGGAGCCAGTGCTGTGGTGCAGTGGGTAAAGCTGCCCACCAGCCACACCAGCATCCCATTTGGGTGTTGGTTCGAGTCCTGGCTGCTCCACTTCCAGTCTTGTTCCCTGATGATGCACCTGCTTCAGCCCCTCCACCCATGTGGAGACCCACGTGCATCCATGGGAGACCTGGATGAAACTCTTGGCACCTGGATTCAGTCTGGCCCAGCCCAGCCATTGTGGCCATTTGGGGAGGGAACCAGCAGATGGAAGATCCCTCTCTCTCTCTCTCTCTAGCACTGCCTTTTAAATAAATAAATCTTTAAAAATTTTTGGATTGACATCTAAGAGTTGTGCATATTTATGGGGTACAGTGAGATGTTATGACACGGGCACAGGGGCACTTCATAAATGTTCATACTGTAAAAAAATGAGGCTTGGGTTATCAATTTTTTTCTGCACTCAAATAAGCTTCCCTTTCCAGGCCATTTTCCCATGAACTCTGGGAAGCGTCCTGGAGTGGATTGTGCAGTAATCAAATCCAGGTGATTTCCATCCGGGTGTGTGGGGAGGTGGGGGTGTGGAGGGTCTTCCAACAACTTGCAGGGTGCTGAGACCCTCAGGCACACCTGGGCCACGTGAACTGTCCCACTTGAGTCCCCTCTCCCAGGTGTGAGGCTGCGGAAACAGCAAGGTCACCCATCAGCAGGGACCCTGGCTAAGATACGCGCCAGATACTGGAGGAGGAGGGAAAGACGAGATGGAAGCCAGCCTGGGGCTGGCATTGTGGCACAGCAGGTTAGGGCACACGTGGAATGCTGGCAGCCCATATCAGAGCTGTGCTGCTTCTGACCACGCTCCCGGCTACTGCACCTGGGGAAGCAGCAGCAGATGGCCAAGTGCTTGAGTCCTGCCATCCATGTGGGAGACCTGGATGGAGGTCCAGGCTCCTGGCTTTGGCCTGGTCCAGCCCCTTAAGTTGTGGCCTTTTGGGGAGTAAACCACTGTTGGAATCTCTCTCTCTCTCCATGGTGTAGGCAGGCAGGCAGGTGAGCCTCCCAGACCTGCGGTGGCATGCCCAAGTTCCAGGTTCTGAGGAAATGGCCACAAACAAGAGAGGCAGAGTGCCACCACATGGCAGCTCCATTCCAGCTAGGACTTAAATCTGCATCATCAACCCCTTCCTGCAGCCTTCCATGGTCTTCCTCGGGGCAGGTGCTTCTCAGACAAGTTTTACTGCCTGCCTGCCAGTCCACCGCTGTGGAACACCATCCACTTCCTGGTGTTCTTTAGACTTTTTTCAGGTTTGGGGGAACTGTGCACATTTACGTGGGCTTTCATAAATATGTCCTCGGTATATAAGAAGCAAGTGCAGATGTTGGTCTGCAAAGTTTGAACACTTCCAAGACTTTTCCTGTAAATATTCCCAAACCTAGCTCCAAGTTCTACTTCCAGCTTCAGGGTCTGAGATTCAAAGCCCAAGCGACTTGAAATTAAACTAGGAATAACAAAGACAGCGGGGCTGGGGGATCACTACGTCATAAATAAGAGTGTCAATTGTTAAATCAACAACAGGAGTCACTGTGCACTTGCTCCCCATGTAGGACCTCTGTTCTTAATATGTTGTACTATGAGAATTAATAGTAAAACTAGTCTTCAAACAGTAAACTTTATACTTTATGTGCCTGCGTGAGTGCAAACTGTTGAAATCTTTACTTAGTATAAAGTTGATCTTCTGTATATAAAGATAATTAAAAATGAATCTTGATGAAGAATGGGATGGGAGAGGGAGTAAGAGGTGAAATGGGAGTGGAGGTGGGAGGGTGGATATAGGGGGAAGAATTGCTATATTCCTAAAGCCGTACCTAGGAAATTTGTATTCATTAAATAAAAACTTTCTTAAAAAAAGAGATTACCTTAGCAAAAGAGAGATAGAGAGAGAGAGCTGGAAAAAAATTCCTCAAATACTTGAAAATTACCACACTTTTCAATGATTGTAGATCAAAAGGAAATCTGCAGGAAAATTAGAAAATAGGAAAAATATAGAGTGGAACACATCAAATTTATGGGA